ACGTGTATGCACGCAAGAGTTGCCCATGGTTTCCACGCGATGCTGATACATTCCCTGACCTTTTTGCGGGCTGCTCACGACGCACACACGCGCCTCGCCTCGGGCGACCGAGAAATATCTGCGACAGCGCAAAGCCGCCACGAGCCGTCGGCTGGAACCTGTTTGAGACTTGGCCGTGGCGGTGACGACGGTGGCGGTGATGACGACGGCGGTGACGACGAAGGCGGTGACGACGGTGGCGGTGACGACGGTGGCGGTGACGACGGCGGCGGTGACGACGACGGCGGTGACGACGACGGCGGCGGTGACGACGACGGTGGCGGTGACGACGACGGTGGCGGTGACGTCGGCGGTGACGACGTCGGCGGTGACGACGTCGGCGGTGACGACGTCGGCGGTGACGACGTCGGCGGTGACGACGTCGGCGGTGACGACGTCGGCGGAGACGACGGCGGCGGTGACGACGGCGGCGGTGACGACGGCGGCGGTGACGACGGCGGCGGTGACGACGGCGGCGGTGACGACGGTGGCGGTGACGCGCATTGTTCGCCCACTAACAATTGGTGGCGAATCCTTGCAGGCGATTTTGTTCGTTTGGACGCGAAGGGGTTCTTCGTTGACCAGCAGCGAAAGGAAGCTCTCGCCCTCGACCTGGACACTTTGGAACCGGTGTCTGCATCCACCTCGGCAGTGTGTTGTTAGTTTGGCTTTGCGTCTATAAAGCGCCGCTCACAGTTGGCGGAAGATCTCGATTTTTTTTTTAATTCTCACATTCATTTTGCGATTCGCATCTCTTCGCTTGTGAAGCAAACAATAACACGGCCTTGCTGTTTTACACTGAACGGGGTTCATGCAGGAGCACTATATTCCTCCTACGTCGGTCAACCCTGCAGTGCAGTGTTTTTACTCTTGGGTTCTTTCGGTAAAGTCACGTAGGTGTGGGACTACTTCAGCAGTTGTTTCTTGCTGTGGGTGTCCCCACCTGATGACGAACGCCTGTGTTGCGCCCGAAACGTCGTGATTTAATTTATTTTATATTTTATACCTACGTGACTTTACCGAAAGAACCAAAGAGTATGGATCCTTGCAGTCACGGAAACTTCGAATCTAGTACAGTGTTTGTATAACAGGTCTGGACTGCCCCTTGCTGATGAAACATCAGGAAGTTGACACCGGTCCAGAATTTGCCTGCGCAGCAGAAAAATGCGGCCTGAAAACAGTGGCCCTGAAGACTGCATTGGCTGGTGGACTGAAATATTGCTTTATTTTATCATTTTGAGATTGGGAATGCCTAACTTGTAGAGCTGCAGCACAGATCCAATTTGTGTGGGGTGTAGGTTCATGCCCTGGCCAGGGTGGGCTTAGCGGATCATTGTTGTCATCATCATCATCATCCATGACGTCTTCCTGTTGTGGAAGATGTCTTCACAATTCCGGCAAATCGGGTGATGATGCAGGTTATAATCACCAGTGAAACGTCATAACTCAAATTGTAAATGTTGCGGGTTTGCTCTACAACGTCGGAGTAACAAATTTGTGCATTCTGTTCACGTGACACACATCACCGATTGGCTGTGTCGGGTGGAGGTGGGTGTATGACATTAACATTTAACGCGATCTAACCCCCCAAAAAATCGTTATCGTGAATAATAATATCGGTCACGAAAGCGTACGTGTAAATTTTACCATCATCGTTATCGCCGATCATCCCTCTGGGATGTGTAAAACGAATTCTGCCTAATGAGGCTCCACATCTTCTTGGTTCTTTCGGTAAAGTCACGTAGAAGGGAAGTAATAAAATAATAAAAATAAAACATAATAAAATAATTCTCACGACGTTTCGGCCACAACGCAAGCAGCCGTCCTCAGGTGAAGAATGAAACACCACCAAGCTTGGAGCGTATATTTAAGCTGGGTTGGAGGGGGGAAAAAGAGCGCCTTGACAAAATAATTTTGCATATTGGTATTACCTTAGAGTCGCGGCATCTCTTCAGGAAGGTGAGAGACTCGATTAGCTGAGCCTTCTTATCACAGAGCTTGTTAAAGGATCTTAAAGTTTTATGGAATCCCACCCCGTAGTGGCGGTTAAATTTCGATTTAAAGCTTTCGTGACTGCAGGGAGGCTGCACAGTTTCGGTGGGAAGTCGGGTAGCAGTGGTTGCGACTTGTGGGGGACATGGCTAAATGTGGAATTCCCAGCACTGGGCCTGGGATCACGAACAAACTTGAGCAACTCCAAGCGCACTCTTGGACAGGGTGAGGTAGTTCAACTTTTCCGTGCTGGAAAACGTCCAATTATTTTGCCATGGTGCTCCAGCTCTTTCATTGCTGTGTCAGACTGCATTAAGTGAATTAAAGGGGGGTGCGCCGGCGTGGGGGGGGGGGGGAATAAAACAAAATCCTCTGAGCTGTGCTTAAAGCTTTTCGCAGCCAGTCAGCCAATTTGGCACGCAGTGTTTAAATAGCCTGTTGTTTTTTTTCGATTTAAAGCTTTCGTGACTGCAGGGATTCATCTATTTCATTTATTTTTATTATTATTGTATTACTTCCCTTCTACGTGACTTTACCGAAAGAACCAAGAAGCCTGTTGTTTGTTAAGAATGTTGCCACTACCAAATAGCCACGGGATGGTCCGCAGAAATCCGTGCTCGGAATTCCGTTATTGCCGGAGTGGCTTCGCAAACAAAGAACAAGGAGGATGGAGGGGATCGCTGCACTGTATTGACGAGAGGAATGCACACGCACAGCCTCCCATCTGCTACTCATCGGCAACCTCGTTGCGTTGTGTGTGGATTTGTCTCCTATTAGCGTGCGCGTGCAAATATTAACTGGGTTGGAGCAGTGGGTTCGTGTCCTGCGTTACGAACCCAGCGACCTATGTTCGAGTCCCGGTTGAGGGCAACATCGGTGGCGATTATCTGATCCGGTGTGAACTACCTCGCCTTGGTATACAGGAGGGTCACGGGTTCGATCCCGACCCTGACGCCTGAGTATTTGGAGTTTGCATGTTCTCCCCGTGGTCGCGTGGTTTTTCTCTCCCGGATCCTCCGGTTTTTACCCCCCTCCACATTTAGAATCAACGTGCGTTTTGAGTGTTTGGCTGCTGTAAATTTCCACGCGATAAGCCACTGAGCTATCATTTGTGCCCCGGTCGTTTCTGAAACGGAGCTGCTATATACCTCAGTGGGCCTGTCCGGGTAAAATAAAAATAAAATAGTTGATTTTACTTAAAATAGTTTTACAATACCATGTACATGAGTTGTATTGCATTCTACGGAAAATGTCCGTTGCATGTGGGGTTGACTCGGCCTTAAATGATCGCGGTGTGTAATCACGTGCTTGGTGCTGGCTATAAGACTCCATTAATAGGTGCTCGCTAACATCACTTCCTCGTTTAGTCTATAAGGCTAAATAGGGTATCTATCTTTGCGTTCGTGTGTGCGCGCGCGCGGGTCTGAGTGTCTGTGTGCGTGTATGCGCAGTAATGTCGCTTATGCGTGTTTAACTGAAATTCGAGCCAGCGAGCCAGACAGATTAACCACGCAGCTTAGCTTGATTCCACCCCCCCCCTGTACAAAAAAAACACGTGTGTGCGGTAACTCAACGAGACGCGAAGAGAAGAACCGCATGGGAAAGGTCGCAAACAGGGATCTGCCACAATATGCACATTCGGTGCGAACGAGTCGGTGCCATTCTCGACTGTCGGCATTCTCAGTTCCTACTCTTAGTTTTTTCGGTAAAGTCACGTAGGTAAAAAATGAAATAAAAATTAATAAAAAATAAAATAATAAAAATCACGACGTTTCGGAGGCAACACAAGTCTCCGTCATCAGGTGGGACCATCACAGCCAGATTTGATCACTTGATGCAGCAAATCTGGCTGTGACGGTCCCACCTGATGACGGACACTTGTGTTGCCTCCAAAAGTCGTGATTTTTATTATTTTATTTTTATTAATTATAATTTCATTTTTTACCTACGTGACTTTACCGAAAAAACTAAGAGTATGAATCCTTGCAGTCACGAAAGCTTCAAATCTAGAATTCTCAGTTCCATTTATTCACGAAAGTAACGCTTAGGCCAGAGCCGTCGTCTGCCTCGCATCTTAGCGGGAGTGATATTGCGTTTTGGGGGGGGGGGCACGGCTTGCATGGCATGCCTCTGCCCGTGGCTGGTGATTTAGGGAGTGGGATTCAAATGGAATGGGCTCGAAGGGGCGAGCGCAAGCTACGGTGCGATTTAAGTGCGCGCGATGAGATGACACGACTGGCTAGAAATCACAGTTGATGTTCGCGTGTCCGTGTTTTGGCAAGGGGGTGACCGAGTGTGTCTGTGTATGTGGGAAAGCATTGACAATGGCCTACCATTCCCACCTGGGTTCGATCCCAGGCACAGGGTACCGGTTGGCGACTACTAACTCTAAACCTGGTCTGGGTCTCACTTAAATCGGCTGAGCCAAAAAAATAAATGCAATATTGTGATCGACATAAGTGATGGAGTGGGATTAATAATTAAACCGGTTGAGCTTGAGTGTTTGTTTATTTATTTATCATGCTTGTTTACCCAGGCATCTGTATCGCCTGATCTAATTGATGCCTGTTAACAGCACCAGCCCCAACATATTATCCCACTTATCTTTGACTTTGGGCGTCTGGTTGCCCAACTACATTTGTAAACATTCGCGTCCGCTGCTTGTGCGCGTCACGTGCTATACCGCGGCTGCAGCAGCCAGAGCATAGTGGGTCGGCGTTCTGCAGTTCTCGATTCCTGTCCACGGCCAACGTCTGAACCAGTTCCGGGCCTCCCCTAGGTTGACTCGACTTGAAATGCGGTCTGTGACCGTCGGCACCGGGAAGAAGACAAAGGCGGCCGGGCGTGGTGCTGGCCACCCACCCCATCGTGTGCGCATTTTTTGCCGGCCATCATAGGCACGCCAATATTCGTCTTTGGTTCGTGAAGTATTGCTCCTTGTGCGTGCGTGCGTGCGTGCGCGCGAGCAGGCCAGGCGATTGAGGGCCTGCGCGATGGGGACCTAGTGCTCGTGCACTCGTGCCGCCAGTGGACCGCGGTGACGGCGCACAGCCTGGAGGAGGGCCACTACGTGGTGGGGCCCAAGATCGAGATCCCCGTGCACTACTCAGGTGGGCCTCGCACACGACAGCGGTGGTGGTGGTGGGGGGGGATGCAAAGGCGGCCGGGGGTTGTGATCTGGCCACACGCGCCTTGGTCTTAGTCGGCGCCGCTGCTGCTCGCAAACTCCACTTGCCCCCCCCCCCGACTGTCTGTTGACGGCTTTGTGTGGGATCTTTGTGTGATTTCCGTTTGGCTGCGTAAGTATGTACGTTGGACTTCTTTCGCACCGTACGTAGCCAACCGTGCTAATCGCAAGTGTGGGAGAAGGACGGCAAACTCTCGTGTTCACGCGCAGCCTCGGTGTCTGTCTCTGTGTTGTCGTACTGTAAATGCTTCTGCGTGTCTCGAAGTCTGTGTCTGTACGTGTAGTCCCGTGCATGCTTCTTCATGCCTTTTCTGTGTGTGGAGTGCTGTCCGTATGTGCTCGCCAACAGCACGTTTCTCCCAACGGTCTGTTAATATGGAGATCTTTGTCTTTGTTTCAAGCGCATGAATGCACGCGTCCGTACGATACGCGCATACACCCAAATGAATGCGCTCGCTCGCCTGCATAGAACGAGCAGCAGCACCAAGTGTTCTCACTCGCTCATTCACAGTTCATTTCTTGCATTGTGGGTTGAACTGCTGTAGGGAGATCAATGCAACAGTAATTAGCATAATCCACATTGAGATGCATTCCTGGGCACAATTCTCATTCACAGTTGATAATTTGTATGCCCAGTACCCGCTCTCACTCACCCCTGGGTTCACTCACTCGGTAACTCATTCCCAAGTTCACTGGCCGGCTAAATAGCTCTCTCACTCGATCCCAATTTTGCTGGCGTGCACCCAAGTTGACATGCATGCCGTACGTATGTACTATGGTGAACTTCCTTCGCACCGTACGTAGCCAATCGTGCTAATTGGAAGTGCGGGGAGAGGAAAACGGCAACAACTTAGGAGTGCTCACTCGCTCACAAGTTCACTCGCTCACCAGTTCACTCGCTCATCAGTTCACTCGCTCATCAGTTCACTCGCTCATAAGTTCACTCACAAGTTTACTCGCTCACCAGTTCAGTCGCTCACCAGTTCTCACTCGTTCACCAGTTCTCACTCGCTCACCAGTTCTCACTCGCTCACCAGTTCACTCGATCATCAGTTCAGTCGCTCATAAGTTCACTCGCTCGAGTTCACTAACTAACTCGCCGCGAAATTCACCCACTCACCGAGTTCACTTATTTATCGAGTTGGCTCACTCGCTGGCCAAGTTCACTCGCTCACGTCGCCCATAGGATTATTAACTTTTTTTCCGCTGAATCACTGACTACTTGCCCGTTCACCTGTGCTCTGCCAGGGGATTCGTGTTTCATTTCTCACTCGCACGAGGAGCGGGCTGTAGCCAGAGATATTCCCACAGGCCTGGGGCAGACGTTGTGTGATGCCATATTTCGTAAGGCAGCAAGGCCGCTTAATGATACGACCGTGAGTTCGAATTCCAGCCTGGTCTGGCTCGAAGCTTCACCATCACCTTCATCATCATCATTTCTTTCGGGCTGCTAAAATAAGTCCACATTTTTTGGGGGAGAAGTTAACGGCAGTTATCTAAATGGCTCACAGAGTCTGGTACCTCTCAGCACATGAAATGTGCAATTTCCACCACTTTCTCATGAAATGAATACCGAATGCCTTTTCGAGAGAATGGCGATCACTTGGCCATTCTAGTTGTTTGTGTATTGTCGCGTTGATCACGCAGTCACGCTTAACACGCCACAGTTCCGAGTAAATTGGTTTTATCGCGTTGTTTAAATCGAATTGACTTCCGCGCACTCGACACATTTAATGCTCCCGCTCGGTTTTCTGCGTCAAAATGCCGCACCCTGCCCCGAGAAAGGGATTGCAGCCTTTTAAACAAGACACTTTTAGCGTAGAGGATTTTCATAGGGTTCACGCCGTTGGCTTTTCTGGTCCAGTGTAACAGCGGCGCGTGTTTTTAGAGTTCTTAACGAGGCTGTAAAACGTATTTTTCTTTAAAGGATGTTAGCAGAGAGGAGGACCTTGCAAATGTTTAACTGGTTGAAAAAAAAAAGTTCAGTCCGTCGCTTTTGTTGTTAAGTTCACCCAATCCAAAGGCCATGAAACACGAAAGCAATGTTTGGGAATTTGTGGCCGGTAATTGTCACCGGCAACGCATTTACACCGGCAACGCATTTACACCGAGCAAGCATGTCAAGAGTTCGTCGAGAGTTTGTTGAGAAGTGAGTTTTGCTTGAACAACGCTTTTTATGTGCATGTATGTTGAACTTCTTTCGCACCGTACGTAGCCAACCGTTCCAATCGGAGGTGCGGGGCCTACATAGCACTCAACCTTGGGTAGTCATGTGACCTCTGTTTGTGATCTGATTGGAAATTGGAAGGAGGGGCGGGGGGGGGGGGGCTTAGAGAAAAAGCAATAAGATTTGTCTTCAGATTGGACATAGTGTATATATTTTTGTTACAATACCGGAGAAAATTCCGTGACAACTATTGCATTTACATTTTTTGAACCAACAATTGCCCTCAAATTATCCCGGTGCGTCGGGATGCCCCCCCGCGCACCCCCGCGCGGCAGAGTTTTCGTGAATTTCATTGGAGGAAGAAGGAAATTCGAGCGTGCAGTTTCACTCGGACGAGATCGGAGGTCGGCTGTGCCCTCCCTCTTCGTGGAGAACGGATGTATCACTCGGTTCCACGGCTCTGGTGTCCCAGCTTCGGCGACATCTCCACCAATCCGACGTTAAAGCACCATGACGGGGCTTTTGAGGGGCTTGGTGTGGTGTGTGTGCGTGTGGGGGTGTGTGGCTAATACTTAACCTTACCCCAAGGCACATGCACATACCATCATCATTGCCCCCCCCTGCCCTGCGCTTGCGTGTGTGCGGCGGCACAAGCAAGCAACGCTGGCCAGAGCGTGGGTGTGCTAGCAACCAGTTTTTCTGGTTCCACTTCAACCGGTCACGGATTGTTACTTGGCGGGGGCGGAGGGGGGGAGGCCTTAAAAGATAAACTCGTAAAATAAAAGTGTGGCGTTAACGTCCCATTGTGCAGCTGCCACTGCCGCCGCAGCCGCTGCTGCTGCTGCAACAGTAGAATGGGGGGGCGGGGGGGTCCCTGGATCTTTGGGCTCTGCTGGGAGTAACCAGAAACTTTACAGTTTGGAGGGAGTTACTTCGGTGGGGGTTTTACCCCCCTCCCCTCCAACTTGTGGGAAAAAAAACCACAAGGGAATGGGATGATGAGTGCTCGCTCGGAGTTGCGCGTGTTTGTCTGCGAGTTATATGCCTCGAACGCAGCCAGCCAGCTGGAGGGAGGAGGGAGGGAGGGCCGGTCATGGGAATGGAGTCATCTGGAAAGCCGCTCTTGGATGGAAATATTTTCAATGAACAACGTTGGCGACGCGCGAGGGTTGACCAACGCACGGCCAAACGTGGGCTGTGAGTCCAGGGGATGGTCACCCGCGTCTCAGCAAGCATGCGTTGCGCTGACATTTTCCAGCAGGTTACACGTTTTTGTTGGCTCATGCTTTAACATCCGTCGTGTTTTTTTTATTCGCGTCAATATTTAATGCACCGCAGTTTTGTTCGCCATTGACTGCTAATTCATGAATATATGTGTACAGCATACACACGCAACCCCACTGTTTTGCGAAACTACAACTTTTCCAGCACACTTTTTGGAGTCATCGCATTGTTGTTTACAACCGTCGCACAAACGCCGGTCTTGAACGCACGAGTCGCCCATTCGAGTGAGAATTCTACCGTAAATAACGCGACAACACGCAAACAAGAAACGGCGCTTTTATTCCCAACCCCCTCTCCTGGTGCTGAGAGGAAAAAGGGGACCACTGACATTTCATCTCACTGGCCTTCTTCAGGAAATGCAGTTTTGAATACCACATTCTTCTCTTAGCCTTGCCCCTTGCCCTACGCTTCAAGTGACTATTCCGCTCAACTTGACTCTGTTATGCGTGCATACAGTGCATTCTGCTTGGGTGTGGTGTCACAGTGCTTCGGGTTCAGCGCTGTGAACCCGAGTCCCGATTCGTCGCTCCATCTACACAGTGATCGCCCCCCTCTTGATGTGCGTTCCCAGTCCCCCTTGGCTGCCATTCCATCACTGGTCTCGTCCCAAATGCCACCCGTCACTTCCGCCGATGTGTCCTGCCAAGACCACGTTCCTTCCCTTCAGAGTCAATGTGATGTTTTGATAAATTGCGTTTGTATGTATATGTGCTCAACTTATTTCGCACCGTACGTAGCCAACCGTGATAACCGGAGGTGCGGGAGAAGGACAACGAATGAAACACACAAGGCAGTTGTACAGAAATTAGTTTTCAATCTACATGTAAAAGTGCAAAGCTCCAGCGGCTTCCTAATATCGGAAGGAAGAACGTTCCAGACTTTTGATTTAAAGCTTTCGTGACTGCAGGGATTCATCTTCTTGGTTCTTTCGGTAAAGTCACGTAGAAGGGAAGTAATAAAATAATAAAAATAAGAAAAATAATTTTATTATGTTTTATTTTTATTATTTTTATTATTTTATTACTTCCCTTCTACGTGACTTTACCGAAAGAACCAAGAAGAAAAAAGAACGTTCCAGACGTCCGCAGAAGCGCATCTGAAAGCGCGCGATGCGGTGGCCGTCTTTGTCCGATGGTTTGCCAAAAGCCGCTATGTACAGTGTGTGTTGAACTTCTTTCACAACGTGCGTAGCCAACTCCGCAAATCGGAGGTGCAACGGTAAAGAAAAACACAATCAGGGCTTCAGAGTGAAGTTCTTAATGAAGAGGAAATCAAAACATTTAGTATTTGCGCAAGGCCATCGCCAAGGCCCGCAGGACAGGAGCGTCTCCTCGCAGAAATAAAACAGTTTCCTGCCCACAAGCCCATTGGCTTTCCAGACAAATATTATCGAGCAAAATTATAGATCGGTTTTGACCTTTCGGATTTAATCACCAGACTTTGGTTTGTTAAACACTAAACTGAACGATTTT